TTTTTTTTTTTAATACTGGGGTTTGAACTCGGGGCCTCACACTTGCTAGGCAGGTGCTCTGCCACTTAAGCCACTGTGCCAGCCCCCAGGACTGTTTCTTATAGACTGGTCTCGGCACCTGCTGTGGTTTGAATGTGTCCCCTATGTATTGGGAAGTGAGATCTAGTAGACAGGTGATTAGGTCATGAGGGTTTGCCCTCATGTGTGGATTCAGTGTTGTTAATTTGGGAGTGGGTTAGTTTATCTTAGTTGTTTGCCTAGCATGTGCAAGGCCCTGGGTTCAATTTCCAGCACTGAAAAGGAAAAAAAAAAAGCAGCCTCTTGCATTTTGCTCTTGCCAGGGGTTGGCAGAGTGGCTCAAGTGGTGGAGCGTCTGCCTAGCAAGAGTGAGGTTCTGAATTCCAGGCCCAGTACCACCAAAAAAAAAAAAAAAAAGAATGAAAGGCCCTTGCCAGGAGCCAGTGCCATGCTCCTGGAGTTCCTAGCCTCCAGAACTGTTAGGCAAGTAAATTTATGGTCATTATAAATTACCTAGTTGGTGATATCCTGTTACAATGGCAAGCATAAACGGAATGAAACAACATCCTTGTTGAAAGCCATTTGAAAGAATATATCTGCTAATACATATATGTGTCAGTGTGTATGTGCTACGGTTTATTTCTCTACTCTTCTAGTCTCAATACCTGCCTTTATGCCAGTACCACACTGTTTTGGTTACTATAGCTTTTAGAAACTTTGGAAATCAGGAAATGAGAGGTCTGCAGCTTCATTCTTTCTCAAGACTGTTTTGGATATTTGGGGTCCTTTGAGATTTTGTGTGATTTTTAAAGACAGATTTTTCTATTCAAGTTTAAAAAACGAGCTATTGAGTTTTTATCAGGATTTTACTGAATCTGTAGATCACTTTGGGTAGTAGTGAAATTTTAACAGTATTAGTTTTCCAATCCATGAACCATGGTATTACTTCCATTTGTTTAATTTCTTTCAGCAGCATTTTGTAGTTTTCACTGTACACGTGTTTTGCTTCCGTGATTAATTCTAAAGTATTTTACTTTTTTGATGCTATTTTAAATGGAATTATTTTAATTTCCTTTTCTAATTGTTCACTATTAGAGTATAAAAAGACAAATGATTTTTACTTTTGTTTATTCTGTATTTTGCTACATTGACAAATTTGTTGCTTAGTTCTAGCAGTTTTTTTGTGGAGTCTTTAGAATTTTCTACATAAGTTCATATTACCTGTGAACAAAGATAGTCTTCCTTTTTCTTTTTTTCCCCCTTCTTCAAGACAGGGTTTCATCAGGCTGGCCTCAAACTCACTATCCCAGAGCTGGAGTGTACCACCACACCTGGCTTTACTTCCTTTTGTCTAATTTGAACATCTTTCTTTTTCACCTAATTGCTCTGGTCAGAACATCAGTATCTGAGCAGATGTGGCAAAAAGTGCACACTGTCTTATTCTGATGCTTAGAGGCAGTCTTTCTCCATGGAGGAGGATTTAGTGCTGGCTGTGGATTTGTTGTATGTGGCTTTATTATATTGTGGCAGTTTTATAAAGTTCTTACTTGTTGGCTTCATAGAATGAGTTAGGAAGTGTTCTTTCCTCATCATTTTTCTTTGGAAAAGTCTGAGAAGAATTAGTGTTTGGTAGAACTTACCGGTAAAGCTGGTAAATTCAGGTGCAGGACTTTCCTTTGCCAGGAAGTTTTGATTGATTACTGATGTCTCCTTACTATGGGTTTCTTTTCTATTCATGGCTTGCTCTTGATAGGTTTTGCATTTCTAGTAATTTATCAGAATTATTAATAAGTAATAATGTCCCCACTTCCTTTTCTGATTTTAATAATCTGAGTCTTAGATCTTTTTGTTTTTTAAGTAGTCTAGCTAAAGGTTTGTTAATCTTTTGAAAGAATAACTTTTGAGTTTTTTGTTTTTTTTTTTCATTCTGCCACTTTGGGATCTAATTTATTCTTTTTCCTTAAGTTGTAAAGTTAGGTTGTTGATTTGAGTTCTCTCTTCTGTTTCTAATGTAAGCATTTACAATTACAAATTTCCCCTTTGGTACTCAGCTGTCCTATCATTGAGAGTAGAGCATTTCAGGTCTCCAGCTATTACTGTAGAACTGTCCATTTTTAATTCATATATTTTGATGGTTTATTATTAGGTATATCTCTTCAGTACTTTTTTTTTGCAGTACTGGGACTTGAACTGAGGGCCTACACTTTGAGCCATTCCACCAGTCCTTTTTGGTGAAGGATTTTTTTTGAGATAGGGTTTTGTGGAACTATTTTCCCAGGCTGGCTTCGAGCCATAATTTTCCTGATCTCTGCCTCTTGAGTAGCTAGGATTTAAGGTGAGCCACCAGTGCCTGGCTTTTCTTCAGTACTTTTTTTGTTGTGGTCATTGAGATAGGAACTCACTGTGCAGTCCAGGCTGGTCTTGAATTGGTGATAATTCTATGCCTTTTCCTCCCGTGGCATGCCCACCACACCTGGCTGGATCTTCACTAATCCTTGACTCTACTAGAGACTACCCCTGGGTTTTTTTGGTTTTTTTTTGGGGGGGTGGGTGGCACTGGAGTTTGAACTCAGGACCTCACGCTTGCTAGGCAGGCACTCTACCACTTGAATCACTCACCAGACCTTTTTTGTTATGGGTTTTTTGAGACAGGATCTCACAAACTTATTTGCCTGGCTGCTTAGAACCACGATCCTCCTGATCTCTGCCTCCTGAGTAGCTAGGATTACAGGTGTGAGCCACCAGTAACTGGCTCCCAGCCATTTCTTCAGATAGGGTCTTCCCTCTGCTTAGAACCAGCCTAAGTCTGCAATTCTCCTCTGCCTCCCAAGTAGTTGGGGTAACAGGTATGACTCTTAGTGAACCATGCCTGGCCCAAAATACCAATCTTGGTTAAATGTATCTCTGCCATTTCAAGCATCTGGTTATGACTAGAGAAAACAGAACTGCACTGACCAATCTCACTTCAGGTAGGTCCCAGCACAGCTCAACCTCACTACTTTTCCTTGGTCAATTCAGTTTCTCAAAGGCAATTGTTTTCTACTTTCTTTCTCTTCAAACTTATAATGTCCATCTAATTCAGCAGTGATCTGTTCCTTCATTTCTTTAAGCAAAATCTCTTGAGAAGGTTTTCCATATTTACTCTGTCCCCTTTAGTACTTCCCATTTTCTGTACTTGCTCAAGCCTTTGGTTCCCACCACGCCAGTCAGTGTCTTCAAGTTACATGTTGCCAGATCTAGTAGTTCAGCTGATATCTTAATATACTTCCTTAATATACTCTTCACTTGGTTTCCACTATACCATACTCTGTTTTCTTTTAACTCTGGCTCTTCTTGTTTCCTTATCTATTACTTAGGTATAATCCTTTTCAGGGTTTTGATACTAGCTATATGCTGTCGCCTGCAACCTCCCTTTCACTGTCTAATGAATATCTCAAATTTAACATAGCTAAAACAAAACTCATGCTTCCCAAATCTGCTTCTCCTCGTCTTCTCCATCATCATTCTTTCATCCTATTACTCAAAAAGATAGAAGTCATCCTTGAGTCTCTCTTTCACTTACACCCTCCATGCAGCTTAACAGGACTTGCAAACCAAAAACCTTAAGAATATATCCCTATTCTACTTATCACAACTAGGGCCATTCCAACCCAAGTCACTACTCTCTTCTGCCTGTATTTCCAGCTGGTTTCTGCACTGATACACTTGCCACTCTATATTCTTCCTTCAGAACCCTCCAGTAACTTCCAAACCTATTTAGAACACAAGATTTCATGATGGGCTGCAGAAGCCTGTATGAGCTAGGCCCTGATTACTTCTTCATCCATGTTTCATGCCACTCACCTTTTCCCCTTACCCACTCAAGCCACACTGGCCACTGAGCCATTCTTGAACCTGGTACACTAGTCCATCCAAGAGGGGCTTGCTATCTGCATGGAATGCTCTTTCCCTTGATGGCTGACTGCTTCACTTCATTCAAATCTCTGTTTAAATGGCAATCTAGAAAGGTCATCTTTAAAACAGATGCTTCCCCAACCACTCCACCTTTTCTGGTTGCCTACTACTCCTTCAGCCTTCTTCCTCTTCTTTCTTTTTTTCTCAGTACTGGGGTTTGAACTTAGCCTCAAGCTTTCAAGGCAGGCACTCTGTACCATTTGAGTCACTCCACTAGCTCCCTTCAGCCTTCTTTAAGTTTCTTTATGGCAAGTACCACTGTGCCTCTCTGCTTGATATATGCTTGAATATAAAGCACACTTCCTCACTGCCTCTCCCACTAAAAGGTAGGATCCTTTAAAAAGCAAGTGCATCCTCAATGCCTAGAACAGCATCTGGAACACAACTGGTGTGCAACAGTGTTTTGAATGATGGACAAGTAAATAACTGATTCAAAATGAGTCCTTGCCAAGTAAGAACCGTAACACTGCCAAAGCTCTTGACGGTATCTGAGCTATGTACAGAATGGAAAGCATACAGACATACTTGACACTTTATAAGGATGTCAAAGAAGTCTTCATCAGGCTCTTTGTTGTCATTAGTTACTAGGTGATTAAGTACTGACTGACTGTTGTTTTTCGTCAGACGAAGCCCTGGCAAATTACTGAAACTGGCCCTCTGGTCATCTAGGCGGCGGCTCTGCGAGCTGGCAAGAAGGTCTAAAAACTCATCCGTGTTGGGGGACACCACAGAAACAGATGGTGCTATGAATAAAAAAAAAAAATTGAAAATTTTACAAAGATGGTTAAGCATATTTGTTATATACATAGTTTTTTTTTAATACAGACATTGCTTTATTGAAAGTTTTTCCCCTAATCATTTGATTAAGAAAGTTACTGGTAACACCCACGCACAGGAAATCAATGTGAGTCAATGCCCTGTATAGCTATCCTTATCTCAACCAGCAAAAACCCTTGTTCCTTCCTATTATTGCTTATACTCTCTCTTCAACAAAATTAGAAATAAGGGCAAAATAGTTTCTGCTGGGTATTGGGGGGGGGAGGGAAGGGGCGGAGTGGGTGGTAAGGGAGGGGGTGGGGGCAGGGGGGAGAAATGAACCAAGCCTTGTATGCACATATGAATAATAAAAGAAAAATGAAAAAAAAAAAAAAAGAAAGTTACTGTTAGGAAGGCAAAAATCCCAAACACTTCATTTAAAGGGAAAAAGAGAGCTAAAGGTTGAAAGATGTAAGAACTAAAACTAGTTTTATGCCTTCTCAGAAAGAGGCAAAAGGAAGTTTATATAAAGAATTCTTAATATACTAATGGCTAGGGTTGTATTAAGACAGTTTGAAGTCATTCATTCAACAGTGTCTATTGTGTAACTATTACATTCCAGGCATGGTTTTAAATACTGAGGGAAAAAGACAAGGACCTTACCCTCTACTACTATTTTTTTAAGCTATAACTTTTTACACAGCTGTTTTCTATCTTGCAACCCAACACCTTGTTTAACACTGTCTCTGATCAGCTTCAGCTAGATGGCTTTGGCTTTTATTGGCAGGGAGGGGAGAATGAACCCCTCAGTACTTGAGATGGTACTCTTGGAGGTTATTAAGAGTTGTCTGTATTTCCCTTTATCTAATGCTCATCCAAAACAAAACTAAGGTACACAGCTAGATTTCAGAAGGTAAACAAGCTGTTTTAAATAATTTCTCAGGGCAGGTGAGTGTTTTTTTCTTCCACACACTGGATGGGAATCACTGTGAACTGAACTTAAGTCCTGCTGATAAGTCTCAGACTCTCCAGAAGACATCTTTTAGGAGTTGAAATACTCATATTTAGGCTCACTGTGCAGCCCAGGCTGGCCTCTGAACTTGAACTTAGGATCCTCCTGCTTCAATGTGAGCTGACAGGCATGTGCCACCATGCGCACCTCTCGTTTTTTATTTTAAATCAGATTTTTTTGCCCTACCTCAAAGAAACTAGAAAGGCAGTATGACATACTTAGTAGAAAGTACACTGGACTAAAAACAAGACATACTTAAGGGAACTTAAATCTTATTTGAACAAAATGAATATCAGCATCTTAGCTACACCTGTATTCAGGGTCATTTATTACATGTTCTATGAGAACTAAAATCTCAGAAATAAATCATGTGAATGTCAAAGAGAACTGTTAAAATTAGAGGAGAAGCACAGATGGCTTACTTTTCAGCATTTTGGGGGGAGTGGAGGCAGTTGCTGTTGAGGCTGCGTGGCAGGTGTTTTCTTGTAAGCAGCACCTCTGGTCATCCATCCTGTTGCTCTGAAATCTGCTTAACAGGTCAAGGAATCCCTCATCTCCAGTGGTGTCTGCGCTGACTTTCTAAAATATTGAGAGAAACTCTAGCTAATTATTCTACCATCAGGTCACTGAGAAGCAGATGATGCACTCAAATGTAAAAGGGAAAGAATGATTAAAAATTGACCTTTAATTTTCAAAAAAGAATACAAATGGCAATATTGATAATAAAATGTTATTTCAGTGCAACTAACAATTCTTTTAATTGTTATTTTAATTAACTTCTGTATTTTTAAGGCTAACAAAATGCACCTCAATCTCAAGAAAACTGCCACAGATACTGAGCTATGCAAATGCAGTCACTTAGGGATGGGGACATGCTCTGAGAAATGAACAGCAGCACACTCACACAAATCTGGATGGCATGGCCTACTACACACCTAAGCTACGTGATCTGTACACTGTCACAGATGTGTCCATCAGACTGAAACGCTGACATGGAGGAAATGGTTATGTCAGCAATGCAGACAAGTACTCAGGCTCAAAATTCAGTTGTAAGATTATACAACAGTAAACTGCGCTTTAAAAATTATTAACCTATAGCCTGGCCCAAAAGACCAAAAATCGTATGTTCTCCCTCATATGTGGACATTAGATCAAGGGCAAACACAACAAGGGGATTGGACTTTGATCACATGATAAAAGCGAGAGCACTAAGGGAGGTGTGAGGATAGGTAAGACACCTAAAAAACTAGCTAGCATTTGTTGCCCTTAACGCAGAGAAACTAAAGCAGATACCTTAAAGCAACTGAGGCCAATAGGAAAAGGGGACCAGGAACTAGAGAAAAGGTGAGATCAAAAAGAACCTAGAAGGTAACACCCACGCACAGGAAATCAATGTGAGTCAATGCCCTGTATAGCTATCCTTATCTCAACCAGCAAAAACCCTTGTTCCTTCCTATTATTGCTTCTACTCTCTCTACAACAAAATTAGAAATAAGGGCAAAATAGTTTCTGCCGGGTATCAAGGAGGTGGGGGGGAGAAGGAGAGGGCAGGGTGGGTGGTAAGGGAGGGGGTGGGGGCAGGGGGGAGAAATGACCCAAGCATTGTATGCACATGTGAATAATAAAAAAATAAAAAATAAAAATTATTAAACTAATTAGGAAACCAAGTGCATTTTGCTAGTATAGTGATTTCCAGTGTCTTTTTTACTTTCATTTTTGTGTGTGTGGTACTAGGGATCAAACTAACTCAGGGTATCCTATTAGTCCCTAGGGAGCCACTCCAAGGTTGGTTGGTTTTTTTTTTTTAATGAAAGATTTGAAGATACTGAGAAAAATACACATAAACTATAAATAAATGAATTTATGAGGAGGTGGAGGCTGTCAATACATTTATTTGGAAGGTCCAAAACTGAAATGATTAATGCAGTTTAATGTAAGTAATTAAATTTTTTTTGTAATGTAAGTATAATAAGGCAATACATAGAAATCTTGTGGGAGTAACTAATTCTTAGGGAAAATTTCATAGATGTATTTGTGCTGGCTTCTCATGAATGAACAGGCATTTGCAGGTGAAAGATGTGTTACCCTGTTGACAGGCAATTCCAAAGATTTGTAGTATGCAAGAACAATGGACTAAAGGGTAGAGGTGAATAAGGAGAAGGTCTTCTGGAAGCAGTACTAGCAAGTCTGGTCTGCATTCTGTGGGACAAGGGGCACCGGCAGCAGAGTCAATTTGAAACAGTCTGTACAGAAACTGCCCCACCAACAGACTGGGGGCCAGGAACAAAGGGAGGGAGAGCAGGTGCCTCTTCCAAAAGTCTGGGTAAGCGATCTTTGGAAAAAGACTACAGATCGGAAGGACAAAGTGATTGGATATGGTTAGCTAAGGAAGGTCACTCCAGGGACAGAGTCCACGGTATCCCTTTAACTGAGATAAGGAAAACAGGAGTGACTGACTGAGATGTACTTAAGCACCAACAAGACTTTTTTCTGGGGGCAAAAAGTTTTGTAATTCCAATTCAAAATTCTAAACATCAAAACACAACATGGCTCTAAAAGTGTAGGCAATTTCAGTTGAGCAAAGTGTGCGTATTTAAGACCCAAACCTTGAATAAAGCTGTGCCTTCCCTGAAGTCTAGTTTTGCTCTGGTCTACAAAAAAATTCCTAAACCATTAATATGTGTCACATCATTTGTCCTCTGGTTAGTCATAGAGCGATCAGAAAAGGTGTTTAAGAAGCCACTGATAAAAATCAAGAAAAGGACACAAGGCTGAGTAGATATAAATGGAATTCTGACAAGAGGAACTCAACAGAAAGTCTCCATAAGCAAAAATAGACTTTTTTTTTCCAAAGGCTTTCATTGAGAAAGGGACTTGACAACAGGAATCGCCTTCTTTGTTAATTATGTTATCCTTTTACAGAATACAGATAGCTTAGCCATTTCCTTAAAACTGATCAATAAACCCAAGGTGTTTTACCCCTAAAATAGTTAAATTTAATAAATTGTTTTTTTCATCAAAAAAATTTTCAATTCTATGTACTTTTAATCCAATTAATAGAAGTTGATGCTAGCACCCATTTTTCATTCTAAAATAGTATTTAAAAATCCTTGTACAGATTGCAGTCCAAGGACAGCCCCAGTTAAAAGTGCAAGATCTGAAAAAATAAAGCAAAATAAAAAGGGCTGGCATTGTGTCTCAAGTGGTAGAGCGCCTGCCTAGCAAGCGTGAGGCCCTGAGTTCAAACCCTAATATTGGAAGAAAAATCCTTGAATATCTGAATTTAATTTTTTCTGGCTTCTAAGATGAGTTAGTTTTACTGGCGGACAGGGTAGTGAGATAAATGGTATTAATATTTTTGCAAACAACAGTGATTTGAAACACAAAGCTTATCCATGAATACAGTAACTCCTATTTCTAGCTGTGAAGATAGACAATACAGAGAAATATGGACAAGTTCTTTGAATAGCAAAGATATTTTATACTAAGTGTCTAATTTAAATGATCAAAAAATTCAGTATGAATACAAGAAAGCTAACAGATTAGGTACTCAAAACATAAAACATACCCTCTGAGCACCAGGAACTCGGTGGTCATTGGAATTACTGGTATTCTGGAGCACTTTGGTGGAAGAACTGGCTTTGTACTTTTTCCCTTTCAGTCTGTTGACAAAGAGTAGCTTTGCAGAAGGTTTGGCGATAAGTGGTTTTTGTTTAGCAAGAATTTCACTGTTCCAGTTCTGTACCTACAAGATAATAAATGAAAAGAACCCCAATCTTTCTGGTTTCCTACATTAGCTTGATACCTTCACTCATTGACTAATGGGATGGGAGGAGAATTTTCAATCTCTTAATCCTTTCAGTGTATCTCACTATTTTCAAAAGCTTATATCAAATGCATACTGTGGCTCTCTCATGATGAAAACATTAAAATGGTGGGGTTAAAGAACCTAAGGATAAGAACCTGTTCACCAAAAATAAAATGTGAATGGTCAGAGAAGGACTATTGTAGTGGGTGTGAGTTACATAAAAATCTGTAACAACTAGAAATTTGGGTATATGTATACTCTTTAACCATAAAAATGAACATCTAAAACTGTTTTCAGCTAGACATGGCACCTGTAATTCCAGCCACTTGGGAGGCTGAGGCAAGAGGATTGGGCCCGGACAACTTACTGAGACCCTGTCTCAAATAAAAGGGATAGGATGTAGTTCAATCGGTACAGTACCTGCATGACATGCTCGAGGCCTGAGTTCAGCCCCCATTTCCACCAAAACAAAACAAAAGAAACTACTGTTTTCACTAAAACACAATACATTATCAATAGCCAAAACCAATTTGTATAGGTCAGGTTTAAGCCTGACACTGTGCCTCACACCTGTAATCCCATCTACTTGGGAGGCTGAAGTAGGAAGACTGTGAGTTCAAGGCCAACCTGGGCAACATAGCAAGACCCTGTCTCAATGATAACAATAAAACTCCAACATCAAAAACCTCCTGGCTTAAACAAACATGGCACTCTCTAACACAGTCAAAATAGTAAGATTGAATTCAAAGGAAAAATATACAGAATATATATGCTCTGCGATATCTGCAGTTTTTACATTCAATCTTAAGTGTTTGCAAATAATTCTAAAGGTCTGTGCTGTGTAATCATTGATAATACTGGTGAGGCGTGTTTTTCATAAGTAAAGTTCATATGCATTTAAATGCACAAATCTTAAGCGTGTAGTTGAAAGCCATATAATCTCTATCCCAATTAAGACAGAGCATTTCTATTTCAGATACAGAAAAGTCCCCTGTGAGGTATGAACTAGAATAAGCCCAGCTTGGAGGCTCACATACAGAGTGAGACAAGTAGATAGAAAGTGAACCACGCCATCAATTCCTTTTCACAAACAGGTTATGGGGGAAAATATTTTCTAGAGTGAATTTCAGTCTGTTGGTTGAAAAAAAAAAGAAAATAGTCTTTGATTTGAGACAAACTGAGACTGGCAGAATGGCTCAAGTGGTAGAGTGCCTGCCTAGCAAGTGTGAGGCTCTGAGTTCAAACCCCAGTACTGCCAAAAATAAATAAATAAAAAATAAGAGAACGTACAAATGTTCCTAAAGCCCAAGTAAAAATATGAAAAATTAAAAATGTTTTTGTAGTTATTTGGACTATTCAAACATTGGATAAGAATACACAATATGTATGTTAATGTCTTAAGATTATAAAGGAACATTGTTTTCAAGTTCTTTTGTTGTTTTTGGTGTTGCATGAGAGCTCTACCACCAAGCCATCCTTAAATGAGCAAAACTATGGATCAAATGTGAGAGTATGAAAAAACATTTTCACACATCTGGTTCAGACATCCACGTCTCAAAAGTTCCCTCTCACTGCACTCTTTCCCAAGAAGCACCTTTTCCCATCTCCCTGGCTTCTTATGTACATGTCTGTACTTAGTTGAGAGTAATGAAATGATGAACTCTTCAGAACTCTATTGTTAGGAAAAGAAACCAACACAGAGAACTACTTTCACTGAAGCATCTTAAAACAGAGATAAAACCTAGCCCTTGAGAATTAGAGGGCTGAAACTGGTCAACTTCTTACAGAATTACTATAGAAAGTAAGCAGAGATAACTGCTACTAATTTTGCTACTTATTAGTAAGAGCCTACAAGAAAAGATTAGAATTGCCCTAAGTTAAAAAAAAATAATTTGTGAAATAGAAAGTTACTCATGAGATAAGAGCTGAATATTTTGAGAGAACTGCAAAGTCCTTCAAAAGTCACCAGAGATTTTAAACAACGTGAGTAACTGATATGAATCCAAAAAAGATAAGAGACTTTTGAAGGCTATTTGCACAGTGTCAATATTAAAGAAATCATGCTAGTTATTATAATGATGGGTAGAAGAATATTTAATGACACAGAAAGATTACTTTGTTTTCCTGAGACAAAGTCTTGCTACCTTGCCCAAGATGGCCTCAAACTTAGGCTGACCTTGAACTCAAGATTCTTCTGCATGAGCCTCCCAAATGCTGAGATTACATGCCTAGCTGGAAAGATTTTTTTGGCAGTGCTTGCAATAGAACTCAGGGCCTTATGCACACTAGGTAACCACTCTACCATTGAGCTCCATCCCCAGCCCTGGGTTTTTTGAGACAGGGTCTCTACATAGTTCAGGCTGGGCTTGAACTCACTATGTAGCCCAGACTAGCCTCAAACTCATGATCTCCCTACAATTACAGATATGTGCAACCATGACTGGCTGGAAAGATGTTTTTGATGGATGACTACATATTATAAAGTATAATAATATAACATTCAAATGAAAATGCCAGATGAATATACACCAAAATATTAGTAGTAGCTATGAATAGGAGGTGAGATTATTGATTATTTTAGTTTCCTTGCTGGAATTCTCTAAAGTTGCGAAAATGAACCTATTTTATAAGAAGTATAAAATACACAAGGGAATGAAAGTCTTATTTTAACAATGCAAAATTAAATTAAATGGAGGTAGAAGAAAGTAGCTTTGATTTGTTCTCTGATAACCTTTTACCAGTTATGAAGTCCCTTCTTTGTTATCCATCCCCTAAAAAAAAAAAAGGGCTGCATCATGAACAAAAAGTACTTTCAGTTTAAAAAAATGCTTCTCAAAAATGCAGCTGGTACAACTCTTCTTGATCATAAGCCTCATTAATCTTGGCAATAATGTTGCTATATAAGTGAATTTAAAAGGTTGTTGACCTTTTTTATATCTTCCTGGTGATCTTTTAATTGAGAAAAAAAAGGCAATATGCTTACATGGTAAAATACTCAAACCAGTTCAAACCAGTATATAAGTATTCTAGCCTAACCCAAACACCCAGTCCCTCTTCCCAGAAACAGTAACGGTCAGCAAGTTTCTTGAGTACTTTTCAGAATGTTTTATGACTCTATGAATGATGTAGATGTGTATAGAGTATATATTTACATATATCTTTTTCTCAGCAGCATGCTAGCATAATTCTTTTTGCACTATACTTTTTTCTGATTCTTCTTAAAGGCAAATTTTAAGTGATATCCATGTAGGACAAGGCTTATTTAAACTATTTCATTTAAGCTAAAATTTACTAAAATACTGTAACAGTTCATGAAATTTAAAACATAAAAATGGCCAACCTTTTCTGGTGTTAACTTCATAAGCTCCATATTTTCCATACTGTGTCGTCGTCCCAACTTGGTGCGTGCACCTTTGCAAAAAAAATAATTCAGATAAAAACCAGAGGGAGCCTTTAAGAACACAGCTTCAGCACCTCTACTGTATTCAGGCCTACAGTCTGACCTACAACCCTTAGAAAAGGAGAAGACATGTACACATGTATTTTTTGGTGAATAATTATTTTCCATTCCAACTACATAAAAATACACACTCCCTCTAAGATGCTTTGATGTAAGGAAGTTACATTTTGGTTGGAAACTAAATTTTGGTTACTAACATTACCCCTTAATTTAGAAACAGCATTTTTATAGTAACTGGTTTTATACTGTCCACTGAGTCTCCAAAAAACCAAACAAACTGTAGAGTAGTTTAAGTAAGTAAAGCATGTGGGAAAGGCTTAGGCCTACAATTTTGAGAAAAGAACAAAAATAACATCCCCAATACTATACTGTATTCCTAAGTTACCACTTTCCATTTTAAGATATCATTAGATGATGGGTTTTTGCTAGTTAGGAAATAAGTTAAGCAAATGGCAAAGACTCAGCCGGGCCCTGGTGGCTCATGCCTATCATCCTAACTACTTGGGAGGCAGAGATCAGGAGGATCAGTTTGAGGCCAGCCCGGGCGAACAGTTCACAAGACCCCCATCAACAAAATAACCAGAGCAAAATGGACTGGAGGTGTGGCTCAAGTGGTAGAGGGCCTGTTTTGCAAGTGCAAAGCCCTGAGCTAAAACCTCAGTCCCACCAAAAAAAAAAAAAAAAAAAGCAAAGGTTTCCAAAAGTGTTTTTTCAACAGTTATTAAAAATTAAGTATAGGGAATTTCGATAACTTATCTTTTAAAAGGCATAATAATAATATAAAGAATACCTGATACCTAATACCTAGCTTAAAAATAAAACATTACTGATACATTAATCCCCCTTTTGTAATTCCCCTTAAAACCTTCTTCCTCCCTGCACTTTTGTGTGTGTGTGTAGTTCTGGGGATGGAAGTCGCCTTGCATGTGCTGCACAATTGCTCTACTACCGAGCTACAGTCCCAGCTATGCTCCTGCACCTTTATAAACTTTCATGACACGCGAATCTCTAAGCAATGTACCATTATTCGCATTGCTCTGAAACATAAACACCACCATACTGTACAGAATCTGCAACTAGCTTTTATTTATTTATTTTTTACCTTTTTGGAAGTATATTTGAACTCAGGGGCTCACGCCTGGTAGGCAAGTGCTCTACCACGTGCATGCCCCAGCCCTTCATTACTATTTATTCATTCTACCAGTGAGATATTTAGATTGCTTCCAATTTTTTACTATTAAAAACAGTACTACATAAATGCCTGGTCATGCCTTTTGGTGTCCATGAAGAAGCATTTCTTCCATCTTAGAGTGGAATTGCTGGATTATGCAGATGGTGCATCTGTAACTTCACCAGAATGCTGCAGAGTTCTTCTGAGGACACCAGTGTGTGTCCCATAACACAGTACAACAGGTTCACAACCCTGCCTCATGCCGATACTACCACTAGACTTTTGTTCATCCCATTATGGTTTCTGCTTCTTGAATAGCACACTCAATCTTAGCCAAAAGGCCAAGAGGCGACCAAAGATTAAAGAAAATTGTCTTTTCATATATTTACAGGCTATGTGTGTTTCTTTTTGTCATCACTTTTGGCTACTCTTCAGGTTATTTGTCTTGCATTTAATTCCTTGGAGTTCTTATATAATCTGGATACAAATACCTTTTTAATCATGTGTGTGGCATATATTTCTGCTCAGTTAATCTCTTATTTTTTTTTTAATGAAATCAAGTTCTTAATTTTTTGTTAGTGGTTTTATTTTTTGAGTCTTGAGAAGTCCTCCTTTCTCTCCTGTATTCTCTAAGGTAGCACAGCATAATGATTTAATCATGGATTTAAACATTTAAACATTTAAAGTGATTTAAACATTCACTTGTGATATGACCTTTGGCAGTTACCTCTGTGTTACTCAAATTCTTATCTATAAACAAAATAATAACCAAGCCACATATGGTAATAGTCTATAATCCCTACAGTCTGGACATGGGAGGATCATGAATTTGAAGCCAGTTGTGCTACGCAGTGGAACCCTGTCAAAAAATCTTCAACACGAAATGGAAAAGGAATAGTAATACTTATCTCATATTACTGTGTGATGACAGCTGCATCACTGTCTAAAGGGATCAGTACAGTGCCAGGCGAGGGGAAGTATTTGCTAAATATTAGCAACATCATTATGCTTGCTTTAGAGCTTTCATATTTAAATCCTTAACCCATCAAGAATTTATTTGAGTGGGGGATTTTCCTTTCTACGTATACAAAGAATACAGGCTCTGTGTTCCAGTCCATCGATTTGTCTGGCTCTATGCCAAAAGCACAGTCTTCATTACTGCTGTCTCTAGAGAAAACCCCTCTCATTTCTAGTTCATCATAAGGAATGTTTTCACTTTCCTCAGACCTTTTTTCTTGTGAGCGGGGGTATACGTCAGTGGTAGAGTCCTTGCCTAGCACGCAAGAGGCCCTGGGCTCAATCTCCAGCTCCACAAAGGAACAAAAAACAAAGACTTTCTCTTGTATCAACTTTCACAAAAGCACTCTGATGTGTTTGACAGTGTGCTGAATTTATATTAGTGTGGGGAGAATGGACATCTTTTATATTTAGTCTTCCAATCCAAGTAGCTTGTTTTCTGTCTGTTACCGTGTGAGGTAAGTTAAACTTTCCCTTCATCATTGTGGATTTTCTCGTCTATTTGGTCAGTTTTGCTACTACGTATACTGACGTTTTGTCATTAGGCCCATGAAGTAAAGACAGATTCAGTGGTTTTATTCTGGTTAACTGAACCTCTTAAACATTAGGAATAACCACTAAGAAGTGACCCTCTTCTTTATTAAGACCTTTCGGCTGTTTTTTGTTTTCTTTTTGGTGCTGGGGAGCGTTGAACCCAGGGCCCTGTGTATGCTAGGCATGTTCTCTACCTCTGATCTGCACCCTTTCCCATGGACCTTTTGTCTTAAAGTACATTTTATCTGACATTAACATAGCCATGCCAGCTTCCTTTTAGTTAGTTTTTGCATGGTCTATCGTTTTCTTTTTATTTTCAAGCTTATTATATTGGGAGGATCATAGTTCAAAGTCAGTGTAGGAAAAAGTTAGCAAGACCCATCTCAACCAATAAAGCTAGGCATGATGGTGCACATCTGTCATCCCAGCTGCACAGAAACAACTGTGGTCCAGCCCAGCGTGGGCAAAAAGGACTGGGAGACTGGGCGCCACTAGCTCATGCCTGTAGTCCTAGCTACTTGAGCGGCAAAGATCAGGAGGATCGTGGTTTGAAGTCAGTCCAAGCAAATAGTTCTCGGGACTCCCCCCCCCACCCCCTCTGGAAGACACCCACTACAGAACAGGGCTGCGTAGTAACACACCTTCCTAGCAAGCGTGAGGCCCTGAGTTCAAACCCCAGTACCAACAAAAAAAAAAAAGTTTTCAAACCTTCAACACAAAGGTACAGCAAAATTTTCACCCAACAGTTTAATATAGATTTTTTTCTTCTTTTCTTACTCATTTGAATGTGTTTTTTTTCGCAGCACTGGGGTTTGAACTCAGGGCCTCATGCTCCCTAGGCAGGCGCTTTACGACTTAAGCCACTCTGTCAGCCCTTTGAATGTGTTTTTACAAAAGAAAATAACTATACCTTCACCATTTCTAAATTCATGATAAAAACTATAAAGTAGTGCTCTTTATATTGATATAAAATAACAATGTATACAACAAAAAAAGGTGAATTAACATATATCCTCTCTGGAGATGGTAAAAGTATGTGATAAGTAATTTAAACGTAACTTTTGAGGACAAGGAAACCAGGTTTTAGGACATTGTTACTTACTATGCAAACTGTCATCAACATCGATGTTTTCAGACATTATGGAATTATTTGTGCTGTAGCTCAGACCGAGGACCATCTGAAGGTCCGAGAGGTTCAGTCGTGCTGTTAGTTCACCGCTTTTATCCCCGACCTACAACCACAAGTGTTTGTATTTTAAAGGATACTATTTAAAGATAAAGATTTGTTGAAAATAGTTACCCCCAAACTGGAAGAAAATCAGAGAAATGAAAATAGTTACATTAGAATTATGAAACTATGAATGAATAAAATGGATTATCTCATTAATAGTTTTTTGGGGATTTTTTGGACTGGGAGCATGGCTCAAGTGGTAGAGTGCTTGAGGCCTGAGTTCAAGCCTACTAACTCAAATAAAGTTGTTTTTTTTTTTTTTAAGAACAGAAAAAATGGCAAGTTTCTAAAATATCACATAAGGACAAGTAATTCTATTCAGTAAATTCTTTAGTTCTCTAAATATTAGAGTGCCATTCTATTTATTCTCCAGAATTCTTAGAAATCATGTGCCATTCCCCATGCCTGGCCTTCCCTTCCTGTTTTCCTACATCAAGGCAACACAAGCATACCTCTGATCTTCATCTCAAAATGCTTTGTGGGCGTCAAGGGAACAATATATTTACTATCCAGCCAAATGGAGCAATTCGGAGAAATGAGAGGCTTCTCTCCCTCTGTCAGTGATTTATAAATTACAATGACTTTTTTTTTCTGTTTCATACCTCTCTTGAAATTTCCAGGTGCTTTTCAGCAAAATGCATTGCTTGGTCGTGATTTCCTAGGGCCGTGTATGCATTTCCCAAGCTCCAACATGCTCTTCCTTCACCAATTCTAAAACACAGTTCAAAGTTATATGCAGTTATCTGAAAAGTGGTCTGTGCAGAGAATAAAATGCTAGCAGTAGTTAAAGATATAAACCATGCTTTGGATTTATTTGATCCTTCATAAAAAGTACTTACTATGATACTAGAGAAGGAATCTAAGAATACTCAGAAAATACTAAAGTCAGAGTAAATACTGAAATATGTAAAGCATTCTTTTTAAATATGCATTGCATTATAAAATAATAAAATCTCAGGGATAGGCTTTTTATTCTGACTACCCCATATCTTTCTACAATAACCTTACCAGATAACCATTCAGTGTGTGTGTGAACACCAAGAAGAGAGAACTCCACTTCATTTTGTACACTGGTACTGAATAATTCTTTCTCATACTGAGGTAAAAATCTACCTTCCAAAGTACAGTCACAGACTACATGCCAGCATAGATATTATTGTCATACAGTAAAACAAAAGAGAGTGAATGAATTAGTCACCAACACTTAAAAAATCAGAAGATTTCATGTATGACACAAGATTTCTAGCTTCTCTTGGAAAAACAAAAAGTGGGAGGATCTGTATATAACAGACCCTCACTCTTGCCTGGCAACTATTGGCCAAGTAGCCACAACCTCTTGATACTGGGCACTATCTCTAGGTCACCACAATTCCCACAATGACTAAGCAGAAGGACTGGTGAGAAGGCAGCTGAGTTTGTGACTTGATCCAGGCTCAAAGGCACATCAAACCACATCAATTAGTCCTTTACCTCAGTCTGGCCCTTCAAACAATATGCAGAGCATACTAATCAAACTTTTTTTAGGGAATCTCCCTAAAAAGGAAACATGGAAAAGAACCAAAGGAACGATTCCAGGGATAAATACTGCATCCATATTTTAGCCTCACTAGAGGAAAGGGATGCATAACTTACCTGTCTTTCAGCTCCTGTGCAATTGCTAGGTGCTTCAGATGATAATCAATGGCCTTTTCGTAGTCTTGCAGTAAAGTGTATGTGTTTCCAAGGCTGTAACAAGACTGCGCCTCCACAGCTCTGTCTTTAAGCTGTCGAGCCAGGAGTAATGTCTTCCTAAAAGTGGAAATTAATTCTCACATAATGAGCCTTTTTAGTTTTGGCTATAAAATAAAAGGCACAAAATAAAACTGATTTTTCCTCTCTGCTGCTTTCTGCTGTCTTTCAGGTAAATCTGTTAGAGAGTCTAGTATCTCATACTTTTCCCATTATTTTTAAACAAACTGAAAAGATGTTCTGAAATGCAAAAAGCAAATGCAGACTTTCAGAATAAATCTAAATCTTCATTCGCCAAAGAAAGGAATATTGAAACATGAGGTCAAGAACCTCTAAAAATTGACAGTATTTTTTAGCATTTAAAAAAATCTTTCCCTTCACACTGGCAATATCTTAAACTTTTGTTCACATAATGTCTATCTTCTATCAGACTGCTTGCTGCCTTTACATTTTATTAAAATTTAAAATATCTAGGTAAAATTCTTAAGGGCAGCCCATTAGTCACAGATTCATGTAAAAGACTGGGTATTTCATTTAAATGTTACCCAGATTCTACCTAACACATGGTACTGTTAACAAGAAGCTGGTGTAATGGGTAAGAGCATGGGTGCTGGAGCATCATGTCTGGGCTCCACTCTCACCTTTGCCAGCTGTGTGAGCTGAGGAAGTCATCCAGCTGCTTTGTGTACCAGCCTGTCAGACAGAGAGCTTTACATGAAGGTAAGTGATGAGAATAGCACCTTATGTAGAGCAGATGCTATGTAAATATTAATGCTATTTCATCAGTGCTTAAACCTACAGATGACTTTGAACCCAACAGTTTAAATGACTCTTTTCCATAATTTCTGCCAAATAATATAATTACTTCTTATCACTTATAACTACATAAAAAGTTATGACATGGTAATATGACAAGAAAACAAATCTGAAATGAGACATTCAATGAGGTATGGCTTTTGCATTTATTCTAATGTTCCTGTCCTCCCAAACACTGTTGAGACCTTCAGAGCTGCTTCAGATCCTGCAGCACACCGGTATTCTTTCTACAGATGATCTGCAGATAGTCAGAAATCCTTCTTGAAACAAATTCAATTACTAATGTAGGTTTGCTAAACTACTGCCTTGTATCATGAAAACATGAATCTATAATGTCATGACAGTCTTCTTGTGTGGGACTGAAAACAGTTTCAAAGGTTGAGTTCCAAAAGTAGTTCTAATGTTTTTAGAATATCTGTGAATCTTTGAGTTCTAGCTTGCCTGTTAGGGGAAAATAATGTCATGAGTACTTCATACTCATGTTTCTTTAGCCAAACAGCTACCGTCCACTTTATGATAGAACATTTCAGTATTTCACACAGGGACATCATTTAATAATTAAGAATTCTCTATATCCTTTGGCTTTAAAATACATGAAACTTAAAATCAAAATGTATATTATACTCCTCACATAGTGACATATTTTATTTGGGAAGATATTTCATATCTAATCAACCAACAAATACTAACCACTAGTCATATTTAAAGCAAGGAAGGATGCCATTCAATTTTTTAGATAGAACAAAACAATTTTACCATATTTTTACATGACTGACTATCCAGAATGCTCTCTCTCACATTGAAGTCTTTAAACTACAGTATAATTCAACCCCTATGTCTTTGACTCAGTGTGAATGGGCCTTCAAACCCCACTAAGTAGAGAACACTCCAAACAGTCTAGAAGGCACAGACCAGGCAACTTGAGCCTGTTTAAAGTTGACTACCATCTGTTTCAAGCTGACTGACTGACCAGAAAGAGTCTGCCACAGAAGAAGTAGGGGCTGCCAACCGCTCAGGTAGAGGGATGGGGCCAGAGCTTAGTGAGAGCCACAGTTGGGCAGAAGGAAGGTGGAAGGAAGGTGAGATGGTGGAGAAAATATTCAGAGATCACTGGTGGAGACTTGAGCCTATTTTTGTTACCAAGCTTCTCTTCCAACCCATAATTGGGTAAAATGAGGCATGTATGCATGCATACCACACGTTAAACAGGTTTAAAAGACTTTAAAAGTTTAGAATTTCATGTAAAAACAACTGATTTTAAATATAAAAACTAATAAAAGGGTCTTGCTGCTATTAAGTCTTAGGAACCAAGGAAGAGAGTGATGCTACATGCCTGTAATCCTAGCACTAGGAGCCTGAGGCAGGAGAGTCACCAATTCCAGGACAGTCACATCACCAGACCCTGCCCCAAAACCACAATAACTTAGATGTAATAATATTTACTGAGCACTGTTTGCCAGGCATCATGCTAAGTGCTCGTCATTCATTCTTTCACTTAGTCCTCACAGTAATGTCAGAATCAAGGTATTAATGCCTTCTATTACAGATAGCCCAGGTCCTACTGTTAGTATACAGCCAAAAAAAAGCAGGTTTCAAATCCAAAGCCTGTGATTTAATGGGATTGCATGACTACTTATTTCACATTTATCTACAGAAGTATGGACTCACTTGTAGTACTCAGAGGCAGTTTCAAATTCTCCAAGAAATACATAAGCGTTTCCAAGGTTGCTGTATGCTCTTCTTTCAGCCGCTTTATCTCCAAATTCTTTTGCAATGAGAAGGCGCTGAAACAGAATTATTTTCATTAGGATCGCTGTGATGAAACTGATGGAAGAATCGCGCTGGCTCCAGGCCCTGCGCTGGTACCTGCTCGTGAGCTATGACAGCGTCCCGGAAGTGGCCGAGGAGGTAATGGGTATTGCCCAGATTTCCAAAGGCTCGTCCTTGGGCTGCTCGGTCGCCCAGAGCCGTCACTAAGGATAGGTTTTCTCTAAGGGACAGCAAAAGTGAAGGAAGTAAGGTTAGAGAAATGCTCTCATTGATTTGGTTTATACATCTATTCTTTCTTTTTTCACCAATGAGTATTAAACCCAGGACACTTCATGTCTGCTAGGCAAGTACTCTACTACTGGGCTGTAACTCAGCCCTACATCTAATTCTTTTTATCAGAAAAACAAATAAGCTTTAGCCATAATGTGCATCACTTTTAAGATTCCTCTATGATGGAGGAAAATTATAGGAACTAGCTGGGAATGCTTTATTGACCCATTCAGTTAGGTTTCTGTCCAGAGTCAAAGACAGTTAATCTTAGAACTTGTATAGCCAAGAAGCTAAGAAGGCCTATAAAATTCTATTTACAAAGGCAAAACTTATGGGCTGGTAGAGTGGCTCAAGTGGTAGAGCACCTGCCTAGGAAGTGTGAGGCCCTGAGTTCAAACCCCAGTACTGCCAAAAAAAAAAAGATGAAACTTACTCCTAACACATTGGACTAAACATTGGTATTTCTTGTTTTTGCCACTAAGAGGCACTGGTTTGCTGCTTAAATGAAAACTATATATTGCTACCATGAAACACTAATATGTAAGCCATAACTGATGTGATTTGTTAGTCCATACAGCTAGGGTTTTTGTTGTTTTGTTTTGTTTTATTTTATTCTGGTAGTACTGGCAAGTGAACTCAGGGCCTCGGGTATCATTTGAGCCCATACACCCAGTCCTTGTTAGTCCAAAATTTCAAAACCTTTGCCAAACTAAACACTTACTACTGGGTAGAGAAAGAACAGTAGGCCCATGGCTTAGCTGGACCCACACGCCAGCATCAGTCTTACTCACTCATAAAAATCCACAGCTGCCTGCAGAGCATTTCTCACTTCTTCTGGAAATTCTCCATCCTGGGGCCCAAGGTAGCCAAAACTTTTCCCTTTGGCATGATACACATTTCCAAGATTGTAAAGTGCTCTTGCTTCTCCCACCTAGACAGAAATATCAGCAAAGATGTTTCTACTGCTTATCCCAGATATTCATACTATCCTTCCCATTATCATCAAGAGAAAGAAATTTCTTCAGTAGTTTTTGATAGAGAACCAAATGATTACTTATGAAAGAGGACCTCTTACATTTACTTCTTTTGTCTACTTCAAATTTTTTATTATGTTTTCTCTTTTCTATTTGTCTTTGTACATTTTCTTTTTTTAAACCACAGAATAAGTATGTTAAAACACAACGCAGTCTCAATGAAACCATTTGGCATTAGTCTGCTAGCTCATGTTTATTTATTACCTTGTCATTAAGTCCTCTAGAAATATCCAGGTGTCGCTGACAGCAAACTATAGCTTCATCAAAATTCCCCAGGACTTTTAAGGTGTTTCCCAGATTGCCACTAGCTTTGGCTTCCCCCAACTGGTCTCCAATAGTCCTAGGGAAAAGGTGAATGGTGTTAAAACTATAAATGGCATTAAAATATAAAGCCATTTATATTTTATATATCCTAGAGGACAAATGACATACTTAAGGTAAGACTCATTAGGCTTCAAACCCACTTACAAAAAGATTTGAAACTTAAAATCTCTGAATTTAATTTTCATTCATTTAATCAAACACTAGGACATTTCACTGCTCTTCACTCAAAATTCTTTATTTAGCTGATTCATTTTTTAAAACAACAATATTGAATTATAGCTCATTAAATGTACTAGGTTAGCTTTTAAAAATTAAATAGAAATATTTTTAGAGTAACAGTTAAGTTGGGGAGGAAGAATATTAAAAAGCTTAATTACCTTGCCAGAGTTAGATCATGATGGTGGTATTCTAATGCTTTTGCATAATCATGCAAATAGAAATAAGCATTACCCAGCTGGCTGTAAATAGCACTAAGTGTTTTTAGGTCTTCAGTTCCAACTTGAACTGCAGCTTCAAAAAATGACACACCAGCACGGCAGTCTCCTGATTTACACAGACGTTCCCCTTCCAAGGCCAGCTCTAGGCAAGAAGCTTCCATTCTACAAAATTATACAGGACAGACATTTACAACATTACAACTACATTGGTGTTTTAAAATTTGAATATGATTTAAATGTGGGCTTTGTGGCTACTCTTGCTCAGACCAATGCATCTCTAATTGAGGCATATGTACATTGCTGATAAACAGTTAACAGTTATTTGTAGCAAGAGCTAGTTGCCCCTTCAAATATCTCTAAATCTCCGAAGTCTGTTATATAGGATAGCTAACTATCCTGGCATGAAGATCATCTTAACAGGCCCATCTAGAGCAACCCACTTTATTACTGAGAAAACCTAAAGCAGTGTTTCCTAAAATACTGAGTTACAGCAGACCTATGGACTTCCAGAGAGTTTGGACAGAATAAGAAGAGCCTAGGAAGGTGAGCTATAATTAATACTATTCTCCATCTGGGTAGTCAAGTGACTATTCACTTTCACATTGTGGATCTACTTAAAAAATACAAATTAATACAAGTAAATCTCTTCTTAACATTTTGCTTCAACATTAGATGAAGCCAATTAGATACAGGAAGAAAGACCTAAAGTACATCCAAAGATAAATCACTTAAGCTGAGCACCGGCGGCTCATGCCTATAATCCTAGCTATTTGGGAGGCTGAGATAAGGAGGATCAAGGTTTGAGGCCAGCCCAGGCAAATAGTTTGTAAGACTCCATCTTCAAAATAATCAGAGCAAAGATGATGAGGTATGGTCAAGCAGTAAGCACCTGCTTTGTAAGCTCGAAGCCCTGAGTTCAAGCTCCAGTCCCACCAAAACAAAACAAAAAGATAAACAACCTAAATCAGAAACCTTTAACCTTTATATTTTTATTTCTTTTCTTTTCTTTTTGAGGGAGGGTCTCATTAGGTAGCCAGACTGGCATTGAACCTGGATCCTCCGCCTTTGCTCCAAGTGCTGGGATTATGGAGTGTCACACATCAAGCTATTTGTATTTCTTTACATGTCAGTTCACAATAAAGCCTATTCTTGTCTTTCACAAGTGAAACTTCCCTTTGGAAGATTTTTTTAAATGAGAGCTGCTAGGCAAGGTATCTGAACTAGTCTTCGTTTGTCTAAATACTATAAAAACAAAACTGAAAGAGAACACCCACAGAGGTGGGAGAAAATATTTGCCCAATACATCAGACAAAGAACTGATAACCAGAAATACAGGAACTTAAAAACTAATCTCCCAAAACTAATGACCAATAAAGAATGGGCAATGTGAACTAAAACAGAACTTTCTCAGAAAGAAGAAAATTCAATGGCCAGAAAACACATGAAAAAATTGGCTCACCATCTCTAGCAATTAACAGGAATGCAAATTAAAACGCGCTAAGATTCCACCTCACCCCTGTTAGAATAGCTGCCTCCCAAGTGGCTGGGCGCATTACTGGAGTGTCACCCACATCAAGTATTTGTATTTCTTACATGTCAGTTCACAATAAAGCCATTCTTGTCTTTCACAAGTGAAAAACTTCCCTTTGGAAGTATTTTTTTTAAATGAAGAGCTGCTAGGCAAGGTATTCTGAACTAGTCTTTCGTTTAGTCTAAATACAAAAACAAAAACTGAAGTGAACACCCACAGAGTGGAAAAATATTTGCAATGTATTACATCAGACAAAGGACTGTAACCAGAATATACAGGGAACTTAAAAAACTAAAATTCTCCCGAAAACTAAGAACCAATAAAGAAAATGGGCATGTGAACTAAACAGAACTTTCTCAAAAAGAAGAAGAAATTCAAATGGCCAGAAAACACATGAAAAAAATGCTCACCCATCTCTAGCAATAAAGGAAATGCAAATTAAAACCACACTAAGATCCACCTCACCCCTGTTAGAATAGCCATCATCAGCAACACCACCAACCAACAGGTGTTGGCGAGGATGGGGAAAAAGGAACCCTCTTACACTGTTTGGTGGAATGTAGACTAGTACAACCACTCTGGAAAAAAAATTTGAGGGCTACTTAAAAAGCTGACATCGTATCTACCATTTGATCCAGCAATACCACTCTTGGGGATATACCCAAAAGACTGTACTTCCAGCAGGCACCTGCACACCATGTTTTATTGCGGCACTATTCACAATAGCCAAGTTATGGAAACAGCCAAGATGCCCCAGCACTGACGAATGGATTAAGAAAATTGGTACTATACACAATGGAATTTTATGCAGCCATGAAGAAAGAACGAAAATGTTTATCATTCGCTGGTAAATGGATGGAATTGGAGAACATATTCTGAGTGAGGTTACCTGGCCCAAAAGACCAAAAATCGTATGTTCTCCCTCATATGTGGACATTAGATCAAGGGCAAACACAACGGGGATTGACTATGAGCACATGATAAAAGCGAGAGCACACAAGGGAGGGGTGAGGATAGGTAAGACACCTAAAAAACTAGCTAGCATTTGTTGCCCTTAACGCAGAGAAACTAAAGCAGATACCTTAAAGCAACTGAGGCCAATAGGAAAAGGGGACCAGGAACTAGAGAAAAGGTAGAGTCAAAAAGAATATAACCTAGAAGGTACACCCACGCACCAGGAAATCAATGTGAGTCAATGCCCTGTATTATAGCTATCCTTAATCTCAACCAGCAAAAAACCCTTGTTCCTTCCTATTATTGCTTATACTCTCTCTACAACAAAATTAGAATAAGGCAAAATAGTTTCTGCTGGGTATTGAGGGGGGGAGAGGGAGGGGGTGGAGTGGGTGGTAAGGAGGGTGGGGGCAGCGGGGGAGAATGAACCAAGCCTTGTATGCATACATATGAATAATAAAAGAAAAATGAAAAAAAAAATAAAAATAAAAATGTGAACAGTCAGACTTTCAAAAAATAAATAAATAAAATAAATACTAAAAACAACAGATTTCTAAAAATTATAGGAAATAAACTGGAAAAGATACTTTATATGTAAAATAATTTTCCTATTAAAATTTCAATGTAAGCATTTTAATTATGTAAATATATATCAAGCATTTTCACTGCTAGGAATAAAGCAGGATATTTATGAAAGGTTTATTCATAGCAGGAAAAAAACTGCAAATAACTTCAATGTCCATCAATGAGAGTAGTGGTTAAAAAACAACTACTGGGGGTGTGGCCTAAGTGATAGAATATAAGCATGAGGCTTTGAGTTCAAACCCCAGTACCAAAAAGAGAGAAATAAATAAATAATTAATTAAATATCATCTCACACAGCACGTGATTCCCCACAGGGGTGGTAGGGAAATGGGCTTAGCCAGCAGCACCATCAGTTTAGGAAGACTGGGTTGCTGGCCAGGAAGCTAGGGATAAAGCAGAACTAGCTATTTATATGTAAGACATTTATAAATTAGAAGTTTTCAAGTATTTGCCTATCCATATAAAGCAGAGAAGGCTTCTCTGCAAACACTTATCAGCACCTTCTGCATTAGAACCTATTTATACAATGTTACACTGCAATGTGACATCCAACACAAGTTAGCCATAGGCTGAATGGTGTCATAAGACTTTCATTTTTTAAAACAGGCATCTTTACATAATTGTGACTAGAAACCACGACAACAACCTGGAACCCTGCTGACTATACACTGTCGTCCGACACCATGGAAGACTGTCTCATAAGAGAAATCACTTCAGAAAGTTATTTCAGTAACTAAGACTGCAAGGTCAAAACTCTCTATGTTAGTGTTAATTCTGAGACACAGCTCTGAAAATTTTTATTAGAATAAACTTCAATTTTTGGACAAAATCCCCAATATCCCAATCAAATATATGTAATTGCAAAATAGGGCAAGTTAGCCTATTAATTTTTTTAGAAGATCATTAAATAGTAACAGAGAAAGAAATTTTATCCTCCCTGTCGCCATTGGGAGAATAGAATTACTTCATTTGTTTATCAGTTGGGAAGAAAACAAAGAACATACCCAGATGCAGACAACGAACTTGTCCAGGAGAGTAACTTTCCATTAAAATATATCCCACAAAGTTTCATCTAGTCTTCCTAATGGCCTGAATAGCTGCATAATCAAAGAAACTGCACTTTAATAACTGTAAATAAACACTACTGTCCTTGACTGAAATGTTCTCATTTCTGCTATCAATGCATTAAACATTTTAGGTATAATTCCTCCTCCTCTGTAAAACCCCATGTTATTTCAACTTCTCAAAAAAATTTTTTTGGCTTTTCTTCCACACTAGATTTTAACTTTTGTTATCTTCTTTACCTCCTTAATTCTGGTTTCTTGTTTTCACAGTGCAACAGTGAAAACAAAGCAGGATTAAAACCTTGATGCTACAACATTTAAAAAGATCCAATGAGCTAGTAGAGTGGCTCAAGGGGTTAGAGCGCCTGCCTAGCAAGTGTGAAACTCAAGTTCAAACCCAGTGCCGCAAAAATAAATAAATAAAAATTTAAAAAGATCTAGCAATACTGATAATGTTCAAATCTGACTCCTAAAAGGCTCACACACTATTTCAGAATAAATGGCAGGACTCAGGATTTAAGATCCAAATCAAGAGTGCGCTACACCTTCTCCACCTTAAAGTCTCCTTTCATAAACCCTAGCTCACCTCTATGTGTTCTAACTGGGTATGGAGTTGTTCTATCACCAGTCCTAGCTCCAATAAACAATTTCCATCAATTCTAATTTACCATGTATCGCTAACTGTTCTAGTTCATTTTGTAAAAGGAAAAGTAACACAAAATAATCTAGATTTATATTTTATATAGTAACTTCATTTAAAAAGCGCTTTAACAAACACCAAATTTGATTCTCACAACTCTCTGAGACAGGTGTTATTACAAAAAGGGAAACTGATGCTCAGATAGGTACAATGACTGGCTTAAGGTCAGGCAATGATTAGAGAAATGTAATTCTGTCATCTGTAAATCCAGTGCTCTTTTTACCATTCCATGTTACCTCAAGCTAGTCTTCAGGAAAGAATATTATTAACAATTATACTTATCTAACAAAATTAAAGAGTTCAATACCAAAATTCTATTTCTTTACAACTTAAGTGCAAGTCTCATTTTTACATATAAAAGTATTGAAATGTTTATTATTCATAGAAGCAAGTATGCACAGAGGTGTGCCAAAGAAATAAAAAAAAAGAGAAACTAGTATAATGAATACAATATATCCATCTCTCAGCAATTACCAGTATGAATGATACTATAATATAAATGATACTATGTTTCATTCTCTATTCTTACCCTCACACCTCTAAACCTAGAAAGCAGATGATTTCCTTTATAAATATCTAGTATGTATCTCTTAAAAGGTAAGTATTTTTGCAAAAAAATTTAAGCATTTGAGAGGCAAAGGTGAGAAGATCATTTGAGCTCAGGGGTTCAAGAACAGCCTGGGCCACATGGTACCACTTGGTCTCAAAAAACAAAAAAAATTGTGTGTGTGTGTGTGTGTGTGTGTGTGCGCATGTAGCTATGTATAAAATACCATTATCACATCTAAAAAATAATAATTCCTTAAAATAAATCATATGATCTTTTAAAAGTTTAGAGACTAACTCCATTTTGCTATCAGTGTCCACCTTCCCAAACAGGTACAAAATTAGGACATCATTTCAAAGTTGCAAAGTCATTAAACCATGGAAACTCCTCCTGGGATAGATAAGGCCCCCTCCAATGAAAGAAGCAGATACCAAAACATTCCATGTTAAGTATTTACTAGAGTGGAAGAGTAATTTACACTAGGACATAGCTAACACAAAAGCTTCAAATCATTACCTGCAGTTGTACAACCTCAATATACAAACTGCTATATCTTAGAGCACTCATGAGGCCAGATTCATTTGCATATTCTTACTGAAGACAGTGCAGATTTTTAAGCTTCCCTTGATGAAGCCCTATAGCAACACACAACCATGTTTGCCTGTGCCATATCATAGAAGGACAACGCTAAGACCTTCCACAGACAGGGCTACATCACCTCTCCTTATCTACAGGTTCCTAAGACAGTGTCAGGGAACACAGCAGTCTCTAAAATGATCAGAAAAAACAGATGAACATCTTGGGAACACACAGCATGGTTATGCCCAATGAAGATCAATGGACATGCATACAAGACAACAGACTAAGCATCAAGGTTCCCTAAGGAGTTAACAGTTGAAGAGGGAGAAGTGAAGAAGAAAAAGCCATAAACACAGACGCACTGGATTTTAATGTAGTTCCTGCTAAGAAAGAGCCATATGCAGTCATAACGTGAACACAGGGAGGGCACACAGCCAAACTGTGGAGTTTACAAATGTTTCCCAGCAGGAGATAATCTCTATGCTGAATATTAGATACCGAGTAGAACTAGCTGCACAAAGCAATTGGAAAGGGAATTCAAGTCAGAGGATATAGTGTGAACAAAAGCACTGAGGCATGAAATGGTGCAGTGTACAGGGCAACAAAGTCCAAGTGCCAGGTGGAAGATGGCAGAAGTGAGGTCTAAGGCAGAGGTAGAAAGCCAGACCACAAAGATCTTGTGTAGTATGCTGAGTTTGGCTCTGCTCTATAGGTGACCAGGGGTCACCTTAGCCATTAAACAGAAAGGTTGCATGGTTAGTTCTTTATTTTCAGACTGTGCCCTCAAATGGCAAATTAAAAAGATGGATCCCAAGAAGGTAAGAATGGAGAATAGCAGCAGTGTAGAAGACACTGGGACCTGAACTACAGCACTGGAGGAGAGGATGCAGATGAAGAGATGAATCTGAGGAGCATCTAGGAGATCAGACTGGCAATGCTCCATGCCAGATACAGGGAGTGAGAAGAAAAGAAAGAAAGTAATTCCCAGGTTTTTGGAAACATAGCCGAAAGGGTAGCATGAGGTAAGGTAGAACGAGGCATTTCATATTAAAGGCTCGTCTTGTGTTGAATGTCTTCCATTCTCCTTTATTTGAAACCTTTTACATTTAATAGAACTATCTATACCTTATCTATATACATTCCTTGGCACCATGCCCTGTCATGAATTATCTACTTCACAGGATAATTCTGTTTCCTTCTATTTCCTAAATGTATGTTAAGATATCTAAGATTTGGTAGCAAACACCTTAACACTGAGATTTTTAATTATATTCATTGCTACAAAATTCTAGTGCCTGTTTTATTAATTTGTAACAGTTTTGATAAAGAATCTACTATTATTTATCTTACCAAATAATTGCCTTTATTTTATGGTTTAGTGTAATGACCAGAGAGAGGTTCCAGAATAAATGTTAAATAATACTAATACAGCTATGCTTACCTTGTTCCTATTATATCAGAAATGTCATTTCTATTTTTCACTAAATATTAAAGTGGTTATTGGTCTGTCATACTTAGAAAATGACCACCCATTTCAGCTTTACTTAATACCAATTTCTTTTAAAAGCTCTTTTATGAAAGATTACCAATTAAAAGTTATAACACAACCATCAGGCCCCCCAGCTGACCACATTAAAAAAAAAATCCATCTTTTACTCCCAAGGAGTAAATTACATCCCATTTTTATTCTTGCATTGTGTCAAAAGTTACAAAATATAAAGTAAGTAGTCACAAGCTTTTCCCCAAAACATCAATGAGCCATAGTATATGACCAGCCTTATTACCACTTCCTACAGAAATGATACAAAAAAACTTACAGCTACAACAACAAAAAAATTTTGCTTACAGAAGACAGCAACAAGGACTAAACGTCATCCACTAAGAAAGCAACAGTCTTACCTGTAACGAACATGAGAACAGTCTTCCCTCATGCTCATCAAATTTTCCTCCATCGAGTCATACTATAAGCTGAGCAAAATATACAATTACTTTATTTTGTGTCAATCCAGTTCTTTACATGCAGAATTGTTTGCAGAACCTTGTCCAGTTAGTACATTAATGAGGTGGTGTTAATACATCCTAAGCTCCTGCTTCTTCTTTATTAATAATGAAAGGAGGTCAATGTCAGACAGCTTAAAGGTTCAACATGTGTCCCAAATCCTTGCATCTCTGGCCCTTTCAGCAGCATTTCAGCAACATTTCTGCAAAAGGAATACAAGATGTTTTGCTTGAAGTCCTGCTTTCAAAGAATAACCGAAAGTAACCCTGAGCGTACATCATCACACAGCTAACTCCAGGCTGCTGTGAGGCCAGTTACCACAGAAAATGGCACAGGGCTTAACTGTCACCAGGCAGATTCCAAACAAGGACGTGAACAAAGAGGTGTGTTTGAGAACGGACCTTTAATTTTTAAAAGTGATTTAAAGTACAATAATCTTATGTGGTATTTTCTACAATTATAAACAATTATAGCAGAAAGGTATGTGTCATGTTAGCATTTTAAAACAAAATTATGAGGAGGAGAATTAAGAAAGAGTAATACAGATGGGTAAATTTGATTAAAGTACATTACATGCATATATGTAAATATCACAATGAAACTAATAAAAAATTTTAAAACAAAATTATGACACTTAGAGCTATTAAAGTTACTATTAACAAATCACATGAAAATTCAACAATTATTTAAGTCAATTACACTCTATTTCTTCAAAGAAGATAATCACCCTAATAATTAAGTTACACTTGTACTCATTTTCTCTCAAAGTATATTGTATTTAAGTTCTTTAAGGTCTTTAAAATATTTAAATTAATACTGCAAAGGTACCAAATGAATTTAGGAAATGCATGCATACAAAAAAGAATGGCACAGTAAACTACCTAGTACAAGATAAAAGTGTGTCACCACTGCCTTTGAAGTCCCCTGGGTACCCCAACTGAACCATCAACTTCCTTTCTTCTCGCCCATCTCTGAAGTAAACTGTGCTTATCACTCCCATGCAGTCTTTATAACATCACCAAAAATGTGTACATAGCCCCAAGTAATGTATTTCTTAGATGTATATAGTTTTGCTTAGCATTGTTTCTGAGATTCAACTCAATCGCTGCTGAACCTAACTACAATATGCATATTTTTATTGCTGTATCATATGCAATTGGATACCAGATGTTACTTTTAATTCTACTGCTGATGGGCATTTGGTTTGTAATTTTTTATATTTCTTTCTTTCTTTTTTTTTTTTTTTTTTTTGCTATTACTAAGTGTACTGCTATGAAGACTGACAGTAATAATTTCATGTACTGCTTAGGTGATGTAACAAATAGTGAGAAAGGTGAGCAGAGATGAAGAGATGAAAACTCCTAGAGAGCAGCTAAGAGAAAAGGAGGGCAAGGCGAGAGGCTCTGACAGATCTGATCGGAGCACCTTCGAAGCACAAGAAGCAAGGGGTAAAGGCAAAGTCTTCAGTGACAGGTGAGGTTCAGGACTGAAGGCATGAGTCAGCAGGCTGAAGAAGCACACTAAGCCCTACACAGGGAAAATAAAATGAGTCCATGCCCAGATATGCCCCAGAGAAACTGCCACACAGCAGATATAAACTAGAACTTTTATATCCAAGTTCAGAAAGACAAGTAAGGAAAGATATATAGGTACAGAATCATAAAGTCCTAGACTTTCAGTATTATAAACAACCCTTACAGGTCAGCTAATCCAACATTTTACTACAACTTTTGCAAAAGGTCATAGAGCAGCTAATGCTAATTCTGAATAGGGCTCCTGAAAAGTTGTTTCACTCTTTGAAACAAATATTTACCCATTTGTCCTGTTCTTCCTTCTGCTGTCATCTACACTAAAGCTTACTTCTTTACTCTGCCACATAACATGCTTTTAAGTACCACAGTCACACAGAACCGGACTGTAGGTACTGAACGCCCACTGCTTTGTTAATTAGTATAGTTAGAGAGAGGTTAATAAGGAACAGAGCAGAATGGTGGGAGGGAGGGGGAAAGGACAGCCTTGGGAATGTTGACAAAGCTTCCTAAAGGACATGAATTTTTCATATTAACAACTGTTTGGCATGTGAGAAACACAAAATGTTATTCCTCCTATTTCCTCTCTTGTCCAACAAAGGAAGCAATAACTTAAAGGATGAAAAAGAGAGGTCACAGGCAGCTACTCCAAAAAATCTCTTTTCCTTTAGTGCAGAATCCACTGTGCCTCTTTTCCTTTAATAAAGACATTAGTAAAGGGAGTTAGTGTAGATATTCAGAACAATGGCTCCAAAGTGCATCCAGATTACATGGCAGCTGAATTGCCAACCAAACTGTATTCCATTATCCACTGTGAGGGTTAGCCTGGCATAAAATAGAACAAGGAAAGGTATTTCATTTAAATATTTTCTCATCTATAAGATCATAATGAAATCCCACATTTTACTAATAATTTTAAAATGTCAATTTCATATTTATTAAAATATAAACATTTTAAATGTTTACATGTATTCATTTACATGTTCAACACATTAACAATGTATATAAATGAAGTTGCAAAGTACCTGATGAAAACTGCAGAGAAACACTTTTAAATCAAGCAAGGAGGCAGAGAGAAGGCTATTTGCAATTTTACTAAGGACAATTATTACTATGGTTTTATTATTCTCAAAAAATACAAAAATCACTCTTGTATTGCAGTCTCTGTAACAATTAAATAGCATTTTAAGCTCCACACCCATCAAACTCAGGACCTCACACATGCTAGACAAGCATGCTGCCATTGAGCCACACCCCCAGACCAACAGTATTTTATATTTTAAAATTATTCACTGAACAAACAAGCAATTCTTGACTTATGATGCATATTGCAAGAATTCTCTAACCAATCTAGTAACAATGTGTTCACTCACGTTCCACATTACACAGTTAACACACCCACTTCATATTTAACACTATATAGATATGCACATGTATATATAGAAACACTAGCAAAATATAAAGATACTATATATATATATATATATACATACATATAGTTAATTTTAAACAAATACTAAATACAAATTTGCTCATTAGGATAATAAAAATTAATTTAATAACAGGACCAGGAACTGAACATGGAAATTATAGGTTTGAATGCTACTGAGAAGTGACCAGGTTTTAATTTCCAACCTCCATTACTTTCAGATTATCTAAATGTGGCTTGTCCCCTAATCCAAACTGTGTTTTTTTGGTTATTGTTGTTTTGCTTTTTGTTGGGGTATTTGTTTGCTTGTTTTTTGGTGGTGCTGGGGATTGAACACAGGACCTTGTGTATGCTAAGCAACTAACAATTTGTAAGAAGCACATTCATCCCTTAATAGCATCTTCCAAACAATGCTGTTAGCATCTTTTGATCTGAGTGCAAAGAAATAAAGAGAAAGCAATCATTTTTTTCATATCCCAGAAACTGAAAGAAACAAGCATATAAATCTTACTGCTTCACATTTAATAGCCTGAATAGAGTTAAAATAAGGAGACTCCCTTTTTATAGCTAGGTGGACTTCTAGACACTATCCAAGACATGCAATCAGAGCAGGCAAGAGGCTGACCTTTTATCACAGAAATGCTGGCCCTGCTTTACTCCACTGACAATAAGAAGTTTGCAAACTAGATGACGGGGAATAAACACAACAGTTATATTTATATCTTTTAAAATATATATAATGACCTACTCCTGGCTAATTTACATGATATTCCCTTTTGATCTCCTTCTTTCTTTCAAGGAGCTATATAAACTGATAATACCATTAGATAATAAATATAACTTACTTTCTTGCCTCTGAGTTAGGTCATTTAAATTCTTAAGACTTTTCATATCCTGTCAATTCCCTCTAAGGTACAATATTCAAATTCTCCAAATTCCTTCTAGCTGTAATGCTTCAAGTCACACAGCAGCACTTTATCAATAAGAACAAGGATAAACATGAGGAAGAACTAAGAATATATGCTAAACAAAAGTTCTGTTATATTAGAATTCAGAGTGCAGGTTATAGCAGCACATACATACAAAGTAGGATGCCAGAATATCCATTCCTACAATAAAGTTCAGTACCCTAGGTAAACTGGTTATTTTCTACCAAATTATGTATCTGTAAGTAGACACTAACTTATTTTTATATGATCTAAATGTAGCTTGTCACCTAATCCAAACTGGGTAATTTTATTGTTTGTGTGAGTGTGTGTGGTACTAGGGATTGAACCCAGGACCCCGTGCATGCTAAACAAGCACTCTACCACTGAGCTACTTCCCCAGGTCTCCAATTTTCTATTTCTGAAACACAAAGTGGAAATAAGATGGCAAGTAGAAAGAGTATCATATTAAGAGCAAGAAATGAAGGGCTGGTGGAGCGGCTCAAGCAGTAAAGCGCCCACCTAGCAAGTGCAAGGCCCTAAGTGCAAAACCCAGTACCACAAAGAGAAGGCGGAAGTTACCACAGTGGCACAAGAAGGCTGTGTGCAGGAAAGGGCAAGGCATAGTAAACAAAGTCCTACAGAGATGATCCCAGATAGCAGAGCTTGAGTTTACTATGGCAAGTGTTAAGGAGGCAAGTGAAGGCAAGAGAAATTGATTTGACATCAGAGTACATCACTGATATAAGAAACTAATCCCTTACACAAGGGCAGTCACACCAAAAAGCAGCAGGGCACTTGGTATAACGTGGTCAAGAGCACCTACAGAAAAGTACACACTGCCCACGGACAGTGAGAGGCAAGGGGCAGGCAGGGACAGAGAGCCCACGAGAGTCCCGATTCACGAACGCACCCACAGTGACAGCCAAGTTGAATGACAAGTTATTTATACTGTGAAGAGGGAAAATGAACCACTTCTGTCAAACTTGTATTTGCTGAAGTGCTATATCCACAAATAACAGCTGAAAAAACAAAAATACCAAGTTTGAGATACAAAAAGTTGACAAATGGGGAAATGTCTGGGAAGGAAAAAACAGAACTGAGTGATAGATGTTCCTAGATTTTTACACATCTTTAAAACTAGACCATTTTAGAGTACCAATGAAATCTAAATGTTAATAGGTTAAGTCATTGGCAAAATTGAGAAACTCCATGCAGTGAAAACAATGAAGCAGTACAGAAAAGTCCCAATTCTTTACTCAATATACTCAATTTCTACACCAATAATATGATCAAGTGGCTCCGTAACGCTGTGAACTGAGTGAAGAGGAACTCAAGACTACGTATACCTATGTATCTCTATAATGGTGAGCAGAATTCCAGTATAACCTGACAATTGTCATGTATACCAAATATGCATGACTTTACACAATCTCAAATTAACAAAATAAACTTAATCATACACTTCATTAAGCAGATCATCCCACTCTCTATCACTGCGAAGAAATGAGAATTTATTACAGATTATGCTATTAAAAACTGTGTCAATAAAGTTCTCCATAAGCAAATACATAATCCTAAAGTATGTACTCCAACTAAAGTCAAATCTCAATGTATTGTAATCTTTTAAATGTGCAATGTCCAGTTTGTGAGATTTCAGGTAAAGTTAGTTTAGAAAACAAGTATAACAAACTGTAAATTCTAACAAACACCTAAAATAAAAACTTTAGTCCTGGGGTGTAGCTCAGCGGTGGAGAACTCACCTAGCATGAGGGAAGCCCGAGGTTTGATTCCTAGCACCAAAAGACAAATAAATAGATAAAATAAAAACCATAAGCTGCCTGTAACTATTGAGCAGCTAAACAAATATGACACTGTTCAAAGGGCAGATTAGGACTAGGGTTACAGAGCCCAGTAAATGTTAAGGCACCCCGCCAGTGAGAAGAGTTTCCAAACACATCTGCAACTAATTCTCAGGGGTCATTATGAAAGATACATGCAAAGTAAAGGCATGATGGATTTCAAATTCTCATTTTTATTCCTAGACATTTCTGGGATCCTAGAACCAACAGCCCTTGGATGATTGCAAGGGGCAACTGTATAAACTTCCTTTCTTGGTGAGGAACATTTATATTTTCTTTCATCATATAAAATAAAAGGGAATTCTCCCTGGGTAACCAAAACTAAAAAAAAACCTACACATGAAATTTCAAAGTAAATAAATACTGCAACGTAATCTAGAAGAAAGGGACTTGAACATTTCAAGTCTTCATTTAGCATTGTTACTAACAGTGAGAAAAGTCTGCATCAGCCTGCAAATGCTTGGAGTCTATGTACTTTCCAGCAATCTGCACAAAGCACTGTGGACAGAATGACCACGCAAGTAGCTTCTTATTGTCCTAGGGTTTAGCAGCTCATGAAAAGTCAGAAAGAGGTGGAATATTAGAGTTGTCTGGGCTGTGATAAACTAGGAAGGGACAGTATTTTTATATTATATTTGGAGTTGATCTGAATTACAACAGTGACTAATCATTAAAACTGTTTTCTGATGATAATCCTTAGTGATTATAATAATTTAATTTTCAAAGACAAAAGGAAGATTGCTTTATGTAACATTCTTAATCTTGGTACCTTCCTCCCTGACAGAGCAGTTGCTGAATTAAAAATCCTGCTCCAACAGGATTATTTACATTTAAGAATATAAATAGTGGGCAGAACACTTACCTAGCATGCATGAAGCCCTGGGCTTGATCCCCAGTACGAGGGTGGGGGGTTGGGGGGTGGAATATAAAGAAGTTCAGCTAAAAGAAAAAGTCTTACACTGAGTATGTTCATTAGACTAAAACCAGCACTTTTTTCCTTATTAACTTGGTATTACTTCTCATTAAATCAAACACCAGAGTTAAAGAATGTTAAATTTCTCTCTTACGAAGCTACTTTAAATGGATATGATCTTTTTAATCCATTAGTAAAATTAATAACCTTTTGAAAATTTTTGACACTTTCATAAGAAAAAATGTTTCTAATTATGAATAATGTAAACTCAAATACACAGAAGTAAAAATTCAAAGTTATAGATGATATAATAACTTTTAAAAACAATATTCTAGGGGCTGGAGGCATGGATCAAGTGGTACGCACAGGCCCTGAGTTAAAATCCCAGTATCACCAAAAAAAAAAAAAAAAAAGAAAAGAAAATGTCTAAACGGTATTGTAAAATTTAATCAACCACAATTACACATTCAGTACTTTCCAAGTGACTATTTAAGGTTACCAAAGCAAGAGATGACAAGGAAGTGTCTGCAATGTGAAAATACTAGTGGTTCAAACTAAGCCCAATTTCTCAAAAAAAACCCAAAACACATTAATACTATGTCATTGCCCTTTCCTACCTGTCATCTTTTCGAAAATAAGTAAAGATACATTTAAACTTTATCTTATTTGGGCCTATAAAAATTATTGGACAAACATAAAATTAATAGCTCAAAGAAATAAATTCAAAATAGTGTTAGAAACATATTATTATGGTGGAAGAAAAGAGAGACAATTATTAGTAAACAATGCACAATTTTGAGAGAACAGGACAATGAGTTACCAGAGAATGTGGCCCACAGCCACTTATTCTGCAGTGGCTCCCTCTCATCTGCAATTTCACTTTCCCCAGTCTCAGTTACTTACAGTTAACTGCAGTCCAAAAATATTAAATGAAAAGCCCCAGAAATAAATAATCCATTAAGATTTTAATTGTGTGCCATTCTGCCATTCTGAAGATCACAAAAAGTTTCTCACAGTGCCAGCAGGATGTGAATCAGCCCAGGGTATCCAGGCTGTATATGCTACCTGCCCATTAGTACTCAGTAGTAGCTATGTTGATTATCAGATGAACTGTCAAGTAACCCTTATTTTACTTAATAATCGCTCCAAAGCATAAGAGTAAAGATAATGTCAATTTTACTTCAGTGTATTGTTATAATTATTCTATTTTATTATTAACTAGTGTTAATTTCTTACTGTTTAATTTATAAATTAAAGTTTACCATAATATCCAGGTACAAGGGCTCATCCCTGTAATCCCAGTGGCTTATCCACATGACCGCATCTCAACAAACAAGCTGGGAATGGTAGTATGTTCCATAATCCCAGTTATGCCGGAGGCATAAAGAGGAGGATCTTGGTCCAGGCCAGTTGGCCAAAAAAACACAAGACCCTACCGAAAAATAACTAAATAAAAAAGGAAGGGCATGGCTCAAGTGGTAGAGCACTTGCCTACCAAGTCTGAGTTCAACTCCCTCAAAATAGTAAATATAATAAATAAAAATAAAACTTATAACATTAAAAATATGTTTGTATAGGAAAAGACAGTTCTTATCTGAGGTTTCAGCATCCCCTGGAGTCTTGGAAGTGTCCTTTTATGGATAAGAGTGGACTACTGTCACAATGTTGGTCAGCCATCAGCCTCAAAATCAGTCAATACATCTATATATAATCATTTAAAAACTCAATAGTGGGCCAGGTACCAGTGGCTCACACCTGTAATCTTAGCTAATCAGGAGGCAGACATCAGGAGGATCGTGGTTCAAAGTTGACCCTGGGCAAATAGTTCCGGAGAGCCTATCTCGAAAATACCCATCACAAAAAAGGACTGGTGGCCTGGCTCCAGTGGAAGAGTGCCTGCTTAGCAAGCATGAGGCCCTGAATTCAAACCCCAGTACTGTAAAAACAAAAACAAAAACAAAAACAAAAAACCCCAAAACCTCAACAAATAGTGAGCAAGGTACCAGTGGCTCATGCTGTAATCCAGTAGCTGAGATTGGGAGGATCACAGTTCCAGGCAGCCTAGGCAAAAAGTTCCAGAGATCCCATTTCCAAAATGGACTGGAATTGTGGCTCAAGCAGTAGACAAAGCAGTTAGTAAACAAAAGTCGGTTTTCATACTGGAAGAGTTTTAAAAAGGTAAAATCAGTTTCACATACATTTTTAAGCAGAGATAAATCCCAAATAAAAAAGATTATAAATGACCCCCCAAAAAAGGTCCCTAGAGAATTTGAGTTTAGAACTCATCATAGAAAAATATTATCACGCATGATCGTGACTTCTCTAAAGTTAGCAATCACCATTCTGCTGGAAAGTAAATGTTTCTATTCACTTCAATCATATTATGATGAGAATAACTGTAACTGAAAAGGACCAGGACAAGCTTTCTGGAAGCAAGGAAATCTGAAATTACACCTTCAAGGATGGCAGATCTTATCCGGCAAATGGAAAAAAACACATTCTATTTAAGGGAAGTGGCTGGAGCAAAAGCAAGGAGATGGGAATGCAGGCTGTGTTCCAGGATAAGTACTCGGTGTCAGGAGGTATGAAAGCTGTCTGAGGAGTTAGAAGAGTACGGAATTGCGAGACTTCCCATATGTAGCAAAGAACATATTTGGCGTTGCATTTATACAATGGAGAAATTTTGTATTTTTTTCAACAAAAAATAGCACAGTTGAATCTGTGTTAGGAAGATATACCCTGGCACATCACAGAGGGCAGGATGAGGAGACAGAAGAAAAAGATGCTGCAAAAACTCCCAAACATCTGCTGAAGAGGAAGGTGTCTTTTGTCATTGCACACCACCAAGGACATTGCTTTGCACATGATGTGCCCCCGCAGAAGAAGATAGGAGCTCTGTGAAGCAGGAAAGAATCCTGGAATACTGGGCCAGGGGTGTGACTCAGTGGTAGAGCAGACAAGGCCCTGGGTTCGATGGTGGGGGAATCTATTAAGTGAGAAAAGCAGACTTTAATGCTTTTCTGCTCTATAGTAAAGAGTATATTCATATTCATGCAAAGATCTCAGAAAAGTCTTACTCTTCATTTATAAATGTTTTTATAAAGACAATTAAAAGGATACTGAAAATATTACATGATTTAGATGACAACAAAGACAAGACTGTAGTTCTAGAAGGATGGAAATATTTCTACATAGTTCACAACAAAACACAGTATCTACAGGCATCTTTAAGTAGAATAATGTCCCCCAAATGGGATGCAGAGACATGTGAGGATTTAAATAGACACACGGAACCATTTATAGCAGGTGCTTTGGGATCAGGCCATGGTCTGCATCCCAGCACAGTGACTTACTAATTCACTATCCCACACTAAATTCTCAGAGCTGGTGTGGGCATAAGAACAGTTACCTAACGTGTTGTGTTGATTAGCGATATGATTTAAAAAACACCTAACCCAGTGCCTTGTACATAACATAAGCACTCAAAATGTAACAGTAAAATAATAATAGTTGCTATTATTATAAAGTTGAATATGTCTATTACAATAGATTTACAATAGTCTAAATCTATGTCACGTTTTCAATTTCAGAATTCCAGAGAACTACAAAATTTTATTTACATAAATCTTAGAAATGTTTTATGCTTAACGACAGGCCATTTTATGCCCAGTGGTAGTGGTGCACACCTCCAATCCCAGCAACTAAGGAGGTTTGAGGCGAGCCTGGACTACTTAGCAAGACCTTGTCTCAAAATAAAAAGGGCTGGGGATGTAGCTCAGCAGTAGCTCGCTTGCCTGAGGTGCTCACCGCCTAGAATCAATCCCCAGTACCGTCCCTCCCCCACCGACCCAAAGCAATTAAAAAAACTATTGTACCCTCTTACTGTTACAATTCATCTAGTACCAAGCCTCGGATTCATCTGAACTGTATTTGTAACACCGCACGTCTGACTTAACAAAGGAAGAAAGTACAAGCATCCAGTCAAAGAGGAGCTGGGAACTAACTATGCCTCCAGAATAACATCACGACTTTTGACTTCATAAACCAGTCCATCCTTAAATTACAAATAACAGCCTGCTTTGCCAAAGCAGGATCCATGGTAAGATGTAGGGAAGAGTCGGTCTGGGACTGCCCCGCATCCCGGATGGCCACCCTCCTCCCGCACCCTCTTTCTTCCTTCTGAACCAGCAACCCGCGCTGCTCGTGAGCAGTGGGAACACGCCAAGAGGTCTGGCCACCATCAGATCGGAAACTTTCGGGGCGCAACTTGGAAAGTCAGCTCGCTCGGTGACGTTAACCCCAATACCAGCCGCCCAGGAGAGGAAAGGCTAGAACCCACTCTCCGCGGCCGTTCAATTATGCATTAGGGCAAGTCCAGTTTCCATCCTCAC